TGTGGGCAATGTCCGTGTGACAGACGGCGAGAGAAGGGAGAAAGCCAGGTTTGGGACTTGGTCGTCCTTTCTCGATGATGGCTCTTGCTATTTGTGTTAGCACCTCCGCAGTGCTCATCCCGGAGTAATCAGGAACAATGCCTAGCTCATCAGCATCTGATGCTAAGCCGAGTATTTCATATACCCTATCCCGATGCAGTGTTGCGTTGAGATTTATGGTTCTGCTACAGTTTTACAAGCAGTTCCAGTAGCGAACCCATTTTCGAGTCTGCATAATCCAGTGGAAGGTGAACAAAGGCGAGCAATTGAGCTGGCTCAATGCTCAATCCGGATGTTATCCACTCCCGGTTTTTTGGTTCTCCAAGAATTCGCTTTGTCGGCGAATGCGGGCGACACCAAATCCGGGAAAATCATAGTGTCATGTCCGATGACGGACAGAGAAAGAATTAAAGCCATTTGCTTGATTACTTTATCACCACAAGCAAACAGTACCCGGCCGGACAAACACAATTCTTGTATAATCCAGACGCGCGAAAACCAGGCTCTTGACTGCCATTTTCCCAGCTTTTGGGGAGAATTAAGATGCCCGAAAAGCTCGAATGCCTTGTCAGAAATGACAATAGCGGGTTGCGCCGAATTATCACGCGGCAGCAGATAACCGCGAAGCAGACTCCAATCTTGCCAAGGCATCATTTGTTCCATCGTTTCGAGGATTTGCGACCACATATCCATGACTTCATCTGAATGGTCAGCCGATGGTCCAAGCCAAGCGAGGACCTCATATGCAGCTGAGTAGATGTTCTTCATCAGCCGCACTTGATGTGATTTTCGTCGTCAAAGTCTTGGTTGATGCAGATTTGGTCGATCCAGATGGTGAGAATGAGACCTTGAGAGCAAAAAAGACCTCGGAGATGTCGCAAGCAGATATCCAACGAAGCCGTAATTGGAAGGCTGAGTTTCGCGCATGTGCGGCCTCGGTCGTAATCGAGTGGATCTTGCATCCGGGTCTTGTCCTTCGCCTCCCGGGGAAAGTTGATGATGGAGATCTCATGAGTTTTCTTGTTTTCACCCCATGCATATGAGAGGGCGTGGTATCTTCCCGTTTCCTCCAGCAGTTTGGCGTAAATTCGGCATTGGAGATCGTCGGTGAAATTCTTAGTCGGACAAAGTTGGAGCAGCCGAATGCTGGTAGAGGGATCGTGGAGCGGCACCAAATCGTAGGTGAACGTGCCTTGGGCATTCATCGCCATGATGTCGGTCTGTACCGTATTGGCCATGTGGGATGGGCTCTGTAGCCACAACGAGATACATCTCTGCATGGATTCAACTTGTCAGCGTGGGCTTTCAGAGTGGCAAAGAAGCTGCGGTAACGGGAAATGTGGTAAATAGATGAAACTCACAAGGAAGCCAAACTCAAAGTGACTCACATGGAGAAGGGCCTTTTGTGTATCAAGCTCCTCTCGTGCCGGGACAGAAAACGTAGGCTCCAACGTACGATGTCAACGGCAGATTGACAAGACACCACCGATATTGTAGGTTTGTCAACAGCTATTGGGGACCGTAAATGACGATAAGGACGAGTGAAAGAAATGAAAGTACGGAGAGGAACGAAACCCGTCTTGGTGTTCACGGCAAATATCATGATTTTGGTGTTCTGGCCCGACTACCGTTCACGTTATTTGTTCTGGACGAACTCCTGACACACACTCACACTATCCCCCCCACCCCCAAGTTCTCCTCACAGCGTTCTTGGGTTGCGATGTGTCGTAATATCGTTTGGGCATGAGCACCCACCTTCCAAATTGTAAAGTTGACCCCTACAAATTCTTCCAATCGGTCTTCCTGTTTCTCTCAACAGGCGCAGGCTGATGGCGTGTAGTCGACTCAGCTGCGGGGGGTTCATACTTCATGGTGTGACAAGGGCAGTGTTCTGGGCTTGGAACAGTAGTTCAATTCCGCTGATAAACTACTTTGGTCCCGAAGGCCTTGTTGAATCCTCTGAAGCCTTTCCATCCAGGCCGGGCTTCAAGGCCTTCTTATGCCAAAGAGGTTTGGTGCGTAGGGGGAAGGTGGAGAGACAAAAACTGCGTTGGCCTGAGAAGTAGGGAAAAAGCTGTATTGTACAGCAAGTGGAGGTACAAAACGATAAAGGATGCATTTGGGGGTTGGCGGGAACAATGGAAAGTGCGTTGGGTGCGGCCGGTCTCCTTGCATAAAACAGTTCACGGAAGGCACTGCCAACGGCTTTCAATGAGAGCAAACACCTGCCGGCAGCGGCAAAGATGGGAATCGTCCTTGCGAAACGTACCTTCCTTTTTATACAACTCCCACCAACGTCATGCATTCCATCTCCGTCTCCTTCTCCATTTCGCCTTCTCATCTCCCAGTTTCCCTTCCTCCCCATTGTCACCTTCTCCGCCTTCTCAACAATCATCGTCCTCTCTGTCATCGACACAGCCATCACGCCATGGAGAAATCATCCGAAATCATTATCACCGCCCCGAGTCCTGACGCTCCAGCGAACTATTCTGTGGATCCCGAAATCCAGGATTTCTTCACCAAAACTTCTGCCACCCGCGCAGCCTGCGACGCCAAAGCAAAGGAGCTTGTCGACGGTGGCGAGTAGTCCCAGTCGATGTGCAAGGCGCATGCAGCTACACCGTCTACGCAGGACCTGGCCTGCAATACGTCGTCCAGTTCCGCCTCGAGTCGCTGGCGCTCGAGACCGAAATCAGCTGCCTGGCCACTGAGATTTACGGATCACTGGTGCCGAAGGTGTCTTTCATGGGCAGGTTAGGCGAACATGAAGAAAAGCAGGCACTGCGCGTCTACTTGATGACCCGAGTACGTGGAGTGACACATTTGGATTTATCTTGGCTCGTGGCTTCCCGGAGACAATTGTGTCTGGCGAAGGAACTTGATGGAAAACATCGCGCGGTAAGCCTCGGCCGGCGAAATTAATTTTGCCATAATACTAACTCAATGTCTGCAGGTTCATGGCCCTGTCATGGAAGGCTCCTCAGCCCGTTGGCCCAGAGTACCGCGACAGGTTACGAGAAACCTACGTTGCCGACCTCGAACTCTTGAATACTTCGCTGCCGTCTCGATTCCGACCCATCATCCAGACCTGCCTCGACCACATAGACGACATACTCTCCCTACCCATGGTCCTCCTCCACCAAGACTTCGGCACCTGCAACATCATAGTCGACAAAGCCACCTGTCACCTCGTGGGCGTCATTGACTGAGCGGAAGCAGAAGTGTGTCCATTCGGACTCAACCTGTACTCTCTCCGGTTTCTGTCCGGGAAGCTTCAACTGCGCAACGGGTGGACACGATACGAAGACTACCATGCGTTGCAGGATACCTTCTGGGAGAGATTCAAACAGGAGGTCGGCGACTTATCAGACCATCAGCTTCAAACGATCAAACTTGCCAGGGCTCTGGGTCTGCTACTGTCGTTTGGATTCACCAGTCGGCTTGCCAATGAGCCGAAGCCAGTGCCTATTCCCGATGACGAGCATGGACGTTACAATATGATGTCTTTGGATGGATTTCTGATCAATCCGGGGACAAAGTTCGATCTCTAAGCGGAGGCCAGAAGACTATGGTTGGAATAAGCAGCAGTGAGGACGTTGGCCCTTCAAGACTTGTTGCACAGC